AGTAATCAACACATTCCCTCGTGTGTGATCCTCAGTGAGTATCTTACACTCAAGAACATGAGTGGAGAGTTTTTGTTACAACCAATCGTGTTTCATTATATAGATCCATAGAACAATCTATGTTCTGAAGCAACGAGAGTTCCAATCTTTAAATGCAATTGATGATTAGGAATTCCAGGACATTTGATACTATTCAAGAATTCGGGTGTGTGGAGATTTGACAAAAAATTGTTATTAGAGTGTAGCATGCACATACCATCGGAACTTAAGTAGTATGACCATCAAACATAATTAACAATGTCATTAACTCATTGATAGACTCAACAACATTCAGCGTCGGTGCTAATATATCCCTGTAATAATTGGGATCATATGTTCTGCTTAAACATTGGATATGTGCTTTCAACTATTTGAGCAAACGGATCATCATCAGAAGGCTCAAACTATATATCCTCCGGTATGTCTTGCACAACCATTGTTGGACTCCCCTATCGGTCCATCTTCAAATATGATTTATTGGTACGACAGACTGACTTTAAAGTCCATCGTTGAACACATTAGTAAAATTTACTATAGCCTTTAAAGTACACGGCTATATCTAAGTGTCTAATAAACAGTAAAAAATAAATTACATCTTTAGTCATGAAAAAAATATTCTAATATGTTCTTGTATTTGACATTAAATTTGAGTTCAAATACGCGGACAATTTCAATTTTAAATATGGTTTATCGGTACGGCAAACTAACTTGAGAAAACCTCACACAAGCAGCATTTTGATATTTTGAAAGATTGCAATAAGTAAATATTGGATTAAAAAATGTGGAAGAAGTGCGTTAAATGATTGAGTTATAGACTCCTTTTATAAATTACATTTTATCTGAGTTGTGTGTGTTGTAGATTAGGAAATAATTTTTTTGCAGATTTGATGATTAACATTCCTAAGATATGTAAACTCTTTTAAATTTTATTTTATTTTTTTTATTTTTACGTGATTGTATCATATAGATTAGATAACAAAATCATGCAAGTTTTTCAATTGCATATCACAATCCCATTTCTATTCTTTTAGTTAGGTAATTGGAATTAGCTAAATACGACCATATTTTATAAAAAGTTAATAAAATTATAGAATTGATCAATAATATAACTGGTTGTGTGATGTACAATAGCAAAAGATTTTTGACTTATTTTTTTTTTTTTTAAGGTGGGTGTGTTCTATAAAATAGATAAATATTTTTGGCATATTTTTTTACGTGGATGTAATGTCAATCCAATTTCTTTTTATTATTACTAATACGTGGCCCGTGCGATGCACGGGGAAACAATATTACGATTATGTCATAAGTTAAATATATAAATAACATTAATTATAATTCACCTATTGTTTTCAAAACAGGACTGGACCGAACATCCGAATGAATAGACCGACAATCGGTCCGATTAACTTAAATAAAATGTTTGCTTGTAAACCGGTCAACACCAGTCGGTTTTGGTGTTCGGTTGAACTGGTAAGAATAGTACAATTTTTTAAATATATTGTTATTTACTTTTATGGTCGAATTTGAAAGTTTGACCATTATTTTTGCATCAAAATTTTATTTATGTGATACTATTTATTCTTCCAATTTTTTGGATATTTATATTAACTAGTTATCATCTTGTGCACATGCACAGATGTACATAAAATATTATAAGTAATATGTGTGAATTTAATATTAAAATTATAGATGATAAACATATCACATTTTCAAAATATGTAAATTTAATATTAAAATTATAGATAATAAACATATCACATTTTCAAGATATGTGAATTTAATATTAAAATTCTAGATAATGGACATACCACATTTTCAAGATTTAATCATTAGGAAAATAAAATAATATTTATATAAATTATTTGAGTACATATAAATCACTATATTGATTAAAAAATTGTGGGTAATGTAATTTTTATAATTTGGAGGTATCATAAATAATTTACTTGAAAACTTTATTATTATTATTATAATTATTATTATAACTATTCTTATTACAACGACAATTGTTTATAAGATTTTAAATTTTTTTTACTATATTATTAAAACTATTTACTAATTTTTTCTAACGAAAATTGTTTCATGAAATATAAAATTAAAATAATAATAATAATATCATTCATAAAACCTAATTAAGTGTAATCATGTATTTATAAAACCTAATTAATAAAACCTCATTTATTCCCTCCAAAAGAAGTTACAAAATTTGTCATTTATATTTTGCCTTTTACATTAATACACTCTATTAAGTGTAATCATTTTTTTTTTTGTTATTATATTATATAATAGTTAATGTGTAATATCCCGATATTTTATCGGTATAAATTACGTTTTAATTCCGATATAATAATGTTATTGTTTATTATTTTCGGAATTAATTATTTTCAGTCGGAATTATCGGAATCTATTTTCGACGTATCGTTTACGTTCGAAATAATTTTAGTAATTAAGCATTATGTTTAATTAAATAATTAAGCATAAAGTAAGTGATTAATTATAAATTAATCACAAGTTTAAGCTCTAAGCCGTGATTTATGTGCAATTTCCCCAATTTGCTCCAATTGCCGTGAGCTTTATTTATCATTTGGAATTATCCCAATTAAGTCTTCTAAATCAACGGAAGCTTTCTTCAAGTTTGGGGGAAATTAATTCCTCATTCTTTTTTTGGCTTAAAACGTGGCAAAAATGTGAGGGTAATTAGTCATCTATGCTTAGTTTATATGGTAGCAAGTGTAAGCCAAATAAAAGGCCACGTCCCTTGATTGTCACCCCAAAAATCTCTCCCTCGGTTAATATAAAATGGGGATGTTTTGGTGAATTTTTCCACCTTCTTTCATAGAGACGATCAATATATATATTTCATACTCCTTTCACTCAGCAGCATATAAATGCAATCTATTTTCCTTAATTTTCCATTAAATCAAGCACGGCAAAGAGAGCACAAGCGCACGGCGAACACGAACAAGGAGCACGCTATATTTTTCCAGTTCCAGTCGAGCAATCAGTGAGGTAAATTCCTCCTCAATTCATAATCTATATATATATAATTGCTGGCTCATGAGCATTTAATAAAACCTATTAAATTATACCTATGTGGCAATATAATTTTTTCCCTCCAAAAACCGTTACTTTTTATTTATTTAACCTCTCATTTAATTATAGATAATCAACACACTAATCACATCAAAATTACAAAAATTATTTTAAATTTTTGATTTACTTACAGCTGCCATATAATGTGTTGACTATTTAGCATGATTAGATGTTATTGTTGTGGCTACATTTAATGTAACTTCTTTTGGAAAATAAAAAACGTATTTGAAATTCTTAAATAAATAATAAATAATTCACAAAAAAAAGATACATACCAAAATATACGTTACATCCAATATGAAAACGCAATTTAAAAAAATAAATATTTCAGCTCTTTTAATTGTAAACTTTTGACAAAAATTATTAATCATTCATTATATGCATACAAATAACTCACAATACTTCATTTTTATATCTGTGCAAATGTACAGGTCGAATACTAGTCATGTTAGTAAGGTTATCTCAGAGTTAAGTGTTCGGATTATATTCGAAAAAAATTCGAGTAAAACCATGCTTAAGTTCGTTCATGCTTAAGTAAGATTATAACCGAACAACTTCCGATTTTTCCCGGCAACTCTCGAC